TTGTGAAGCAGAGCTAAATCAGCCGTGGGCAAACTACGGCCCGCGGGCCGGATCCGGCCCGTTTGAAATGAATAAAACTAAAAAAAAAAAGACCGTACCCTTTTATGTAATGATGTTTACTTTGAATTTATATTAGTTCACACAAACACTCCATCCATGCTTTTGTTCCGGCCCTCCGGTCCAGTTTGAGAACCCATTGTGGCCCTCGAGTCAAAAAGTTTGCCCACCCCTGGGCTAAATCATCTTAGTAAGTAGCCCGATACATAATCTGAAATCAAATAAAAACCTTTTTACATTTTTATTGCCATTATTATTACCTTCTACTAAACATTTTAAAATGTGTTTTAGAAACCTCATTTTACGTTGTTCTTACAAGCATTCCATTTTCCATCTACTTAGTGTGAAAAGATTTGATAATCCCTGGAATTATGTGTGCTATAGTTTCTTATATACTTTTTCTTTGCCGTCATCATGTCTGACTAGTAGTGAAAAGTCTTCTAAAATTTTTTAAATGACAATAGATTTCATCAGAGAATCAAAACAAATGCCATCACATTCACATACACACATACATATATATATATTCACACAATGCTCATACACATTCACTCAACACATTTACACACACACTCACGGTCACAAACTCACAATCACACACACACACACACACACACACACACTCAGTTTGGAAAGAACATTTCTGTTCGCACTGACACAGCTCACTCATTTCCATATGATGACACACATCACTGTATTCTGTTGCAGATGTAACAAATACAATTACAGCTGTTCTTTATTTGATCTTCCAAAGACCCAGAGATGCTGGAGGATTCAGTTTGCTCAATGCTCCCCATAGAGTCATCTGTTATTTGGGAAGGAGACCTAATTTGCAATAGATACAAAACTATTTGTCATTTTGCAGCTTTGCCAAAAATAAATGAAACTATTAATTACTGCATTTTTGAGCAGCTGCTAATAAATTGGGAGAGGATAACTGTTCATTAGAGTTCTGGTTAATGACATGGACGAATGTGCTCCGTGCTGCTTTTCACAGGCGTATATCAACAGAAGTAACTGATGCATTATTTCTGTTATTTAAGATGAGAAGTTAACTATCCTGTGTTAATAAATTTAGAAATTTTAACAAATCCTCCTTTGTTGTACTGAAACTAATGATTCAACACCATATTTTAAAGCATCAACTTTATTTATTTTGTGTATTTTGTGTTTATATGTCCAAAATAATTGTTGAATCTGCTTTTAAATACTAATTTTAAAAATTAAACTTCTACTATTTTATCATTGTTTCTTTCCATACCTAAAATTAGCATTAAATTTCACTGTTCTAAAAAAGTTTACCCAGTCCTTCAGATAGAAAAGCATATTTTAACTTATTTTAATTCACCCATATGTATGCATGAATGAACAAATAGAAAGTCACATACTCCCTCTAATTAGAATGTATACATTCCATATTTTTTTAATTGGAACACATTTAATTGCATATGAGTTCTAATTTTTTTAAAAATTTGAATAGCCTCTAGGTGTAGAGGTACTTAGACTAGAATAATTGGAAACATACCACATATACAACATGAAATGGTTTCCAAGGCATTTGATTCATCTGTTTTACTCTATGTGACCAAATTATCGTTGTAAGACGGGCACATTCTCCCATTGCCGGCTCTCAGGCCTGCTGTCCGTTTGGCACCCTGAAATTCTAACCTCCCCTGCTGGAACTTTAAACTAATGATTATAGACTTATTTTACATTGTGATCACACTAAATAAAATTAGTGATTAGCCAATTAGAATTCTGCAAGCTTCCTTCCGTGTGATATAAATAGCCCATACGGAAAAGGGGATTTGCCATTTGAAAACATGTCATGTGTCCAGAGTGTGGTGAATAAAAGAGCAATGGAGCACTCCCCGGGGAGACACTCTTTTCCGAGATCTGGCAGATGAACTTGGCTTTTTCAGATGATGAACGTATGCACAGCTGGGCCCCTCCAGAACAGCAGTTGCATTTGGCCATCGTCGCTAATATGGAACACAGTCAGCATCTGAAAGGTGTTCCCGTGACCTGTAGCTGCCATAGATTTGTCGTCTGAAGCTCATCTCCGTAAGGACAGGTGTCTGTTCCGCGGTTGGCACGCTCCGAATTGGTGCTGTGATTAAACGGGTGTGCGCACAGAGGTCACCTTTCATGCCCCGAGACGGGTCCCCCGGGAGGCCAGGAGGTGCACCTGCAGGGCCGGGCGCAGCAGGTTGCGGCCCTGCCGCTGCCGGGGTATAACTTCATTACGGGACATCTGGGTCCCTGGTCATCCAGTGGGCATGCGTGCGTGCCAAATACTCCCCCAAACAACAAGCATCCTAATCTATTAGTAAAGGGATTGCTGTAAAAATTAATATTTTAAATCGGCCACTCAAGAAGCAGCAGCTGCTTCCTGATCATCTGTACCTTAAGGTCCCCGGACTAAATCTAGTAAGTTCATCTGCCACATTGTAGACACTTCCAACTTAAAAATAGAATGTTCTGTATCTAGAGCAGAACACATCACCTCCTGGACTCAGAGATGTGTAACTGCTCATAATATAACAAGAGTTATCCTGCAAACTAAAAGTTTAACGCATAAGTGTAATTAGAACCTTTTAATGTCTTAGTTCATAATTGAAAAAAATTCAAATATTGAACTTTCAATTGTCACTTGTTTTAGCTCTTTTTCATTATCTTTCAATTAGGAGACAATTTACTTTTAAAAAAATTTTTTTTCTTCTCATCTTTTTTGTTTTATTGCTTAAAGTATTACAAAGGGTTTTACATATGTGTCCTTCCCCCCCACCACGCCCCCCCTTGACAGTCCCCTAGCCTCCCCTACCAGGAGACAATTAAAACTTAACTTAAAAATCACAGAAGAATGTCCCAGAGAGTTAGAAATATGTTTTGAAAAGAATCCATTTTTTATAATCAGTATTTTTCTTGTTCTTTCTTTTTAGAAACATGTTTTCATCACTCTGTAGTGATTTGTTTGTATACCAAGATATTGTTGCAAATTTACTTTTGCTTATTTCATATACTTCTGATCAATTCCAGCTCATGCCCAATTATATTACACTAAATTAACATAATTCAACAGATGTTGATATTTAAATGTTTTCTGGCATTCACATCTTGGACAGCTGTCTTTGAGCTTGGGGAAAAGGCAAACATTTAGAGTTAAATGCTGAACATATGCTTAAATTACTAATTAGAAAGATGGAATAAAAACTGTGCATTATCCTTTCTAAGGACAATAAAGCTCAGATAGGGATTTCTGTAATCTTTTTACATCAAGTTATAGTCCGGGGTATCTACAGACCAGAAGACGTAGACTTCACGGGTAACTTAATTTCAGTTCTCATCATTCAA